TTGACCAATATAAACTCCGGGGTGGGGGAGATGAATAGAAAACTGCAAATTATTAAAATGTTTGTTTTAGTTTTCAGGAGAATTTTGCTGTGAAAAAAAATAGTTGTTTTTTAAATATAACTTTTTTTTTTTCTGAAATTTTCCCTGTAACACCCCCCCCCCCGAAAAAAAAAGTCATCTCCTGTGTGATGTTAATTTCACACATGTTTTTTTCTGTATTTTTTTATCCAAGCTTAAGAGGTCAATGAACCATGTCAATGAAGTAATATTCTAGCTTATTATATAGTTATAATTTAAAAATTTTTAACAATATATGTAATAAAAACATTCCTACAAAAATGTATGTTTTAAAATATTTGCACAATTTATTGTTGTCATGGCAACTCAACAGTATAGATGAACTACTTTTATTATAGTAATTTATTTTAATAAATTGTTAATAATATTTACATGCAGATTCTGAATTTATATTTTGACTGCAAAAGATTCATTTTAATGATAGTACAAAGAAGTTAAAACCTTACATGGGAGGTTGTTTACCACGTGTACCGGGTAGGAATATTCCTAGAACAGTGTAACAGGAAATCAACGAAAATATAGCCGTTGACGAAAAAAAAAAATGTAGGCGTTGTGTAAGCTATGTACAGGTAGTGGCCCGTACTTTGGTATAGTAAACACCAACTGATAAATGCACTAAACGATAGCAGTAAACATTACAAGCAGAAAGGTCAACAGCTGAGAACAACTAATTAAAATACCTTTCTTCTGATTGGCTCCTGAGCGTGAAGTTGAATGTGTGTACTGTTATGTAAATTTGACCTGTTTGCTGTGTTGATCATGTGATTGTGGTGTAAGATAAGGCGGAGTGGGAAGGTGGATGACCTCTTTATGGCTCTTCATTCCAGAGCGTTAAATATTAACATAAAAAAGCAGTTTGCGAACTGGATGAATTGGATTGCGGCACTTTGTCGGTGTTTTATCAAGGGTTCACCTGCTGATGTGCTGGGGATTTCACAAACTGTTCTCGTAAATCAACGAGTTTCAGCAGTTTTAGTATTTTATTGCAGCTTGTCTTTTTTCCTCTCATTGGATATGAAGCGATGCTTATGGCTGAATTTCGTTTCATTTCTTTTTCATATATTTTTTAATTATATATATAATTATTACACCTTTTTGACAAACTTTATTTTGAATTAATTATCCTCATCGCTATTAATTATTTATTTATTTTATATTTAATGTCAACCGCAAATGATTTAAAAAATGACCATAAATTTTGAGTCCCATGAAACCATACTATAGTGTAACAATGTTCGCCATTCTCTAAATAAGGCCAAAGAAAATTCCTGTTAGATTTCTGACCCTAGCAACGGTTGCTACCCCGGCCCCATGGGATAACTCTCTCAGTGCGTCATCCCAACATATGCGGTAATTACGCCATTGTTTTCAGGCTTACTTGATATAATCTGTTTATGCCTCAGTAGTAAACAGGTACCAGCTTGTATTGTTTTTTTTCTTGAATAACAAGCAAAGCAATTGTTACATATCATGATGTTTGTTTGAAATATTTTTACTTAACAGCAACAGAATTTTTTTTTTTTTTTCTTGAATAGAACAAAAAATTTTGTGAGAAATTGGTCAATTTTGAATGAATATTTTTTCGTAACCATTCAACCAAAGTCAGTTTCATCATCATTCACAAAATTTAATTTTTTTTTTATTTTATTTTTTTTCCACAAAAACTGTGATCAAAAATTATACCGGTAGTTGAAAATTAAATTTAGGAGTCATTCATTATGTCTTTTATATTAATAATTTATAATTTTTTTGGAAAAACATAAATTTCCGACTTACTGCTGACTAATTTTGCCAAGAAAAAAAAAATCATCAAACTTATAGTTAAAAAAAAAAAAAAGTAACGTAATAAAAATATTTTTGTTGAAGGGATAATTCGGTGAAAACATTTTTTTCTGTATTTTACAGTCAACAAAGCAAAAGTCAGTAAAAAAAAAACTCCCAAATTAATTCCAACTAAAATGAAGTATTTTACAGTAAAAACATTCAGCCACTGTGATTTTTCAATTTTTATTATATTTTATTTTGTTTTTTTATTACATCTCAGCTTTAATTGATTCGCTTTATTTCAATTCAGCGTAATTATGTATTTATTATTTTTTTATTATTATTATTAAAAGTGGGTTTGAGAATTTGTGTTCCCTTGCCTAATAAAAGCATATAAATTCATGTATTAAACAGATACTATCATCACACATATTTTCTTTTTAAATTAGTCTTGACACTAACTATTAATTTTATTATTTTGGGGAATAATTTGAAATTCCCAATAATACTGTTTTAGCTTTTAATTAATTAATTAAGATTATTTTATAGATTTCTAATGGGTCCAAAACAATGGGGATGATTATTACCTTTCAAGTTCGTCTGTTGTGAACAGCTCCCACGCTTCCAAAAAAACAAACAAGAAAACAGTGTAGCGTAACTTGAGCAAAGGAAAAACGTGCCCTACGTATTATAGGGAAATCTCCTGTGATCTTAGTATTGTGTCAGTTGAAAAGGATGGTACGTAGCACCAACTTGTTAGATCTGTTTACAGGTGTAGAAGTAGAGTTGGCACGGAGCCAATGGATATGTAAATCTAGTACGCTCGTGAACAAAACAAGCTAAATACGTAAACTGTTTATCCCATTCACAGTCGATGTCTCTCTCTCCAAGCGGAGCAGGAGATTGTTATTTTTTCTTGTGGGTGGGCAAGTTTGGGGTGGGGTTTTTGACACACATAGATTGGGGATTCTGTTTTTATTTTTTTGTCTTTTGTATGGGGGGGGGGGTGGATTACCAAAATGTTGTTAGCCATAGTGAATATTTTATTTCTCAATTGGTTGACTTGGGGATGAATCAATTGTTGGTGTAAAGCTTATACAAGGTTGTACATTAGAAGGATTGATGGTGGTATAGCCGTGAATTAAATTAACACACAATGGACACATTGGATACAATAGATTGGTTTCAATAGGATCAAATTTAAATGAGAGTGGATGCGAAACATAACGTATGCCAACAAAATAACATGTTTTTCACATGTGATGAAATATAAATAGACCGACGCATGATTCATTGTACTAACAACAAACACGAGTATACTCAATGATACTAACGCATAATAATACTAACGCAACCATACCAATGTAACAAGAACACTGACGAGTGTACATTAGGGTCTGAGCGTCCATACCATCACGGCTTGCAGGTTTTACCTGGAAACCTCTTTGGACTACAAACCACACTTATGTCACGTTTTTTTTTGTAAGACAATGCTGCCTGGCTATGAGCTACGAGTAGTTAAATGCCTTAAAGAAACCGACAGCCGTTAAAATGTCACATTTGACCTTCATAACGTGATAAATTAACATCGGTAACTGTATGATGGGAATAAATAAATATACATTTCAGTTTAATATTTAACTCTTTCGTAACATTTGATGAATTTTTTTTTTAAATAATTGTATACATAAGGGATTTTATATCCAAGGATTTTTATGTTTGTCTTCATTATCGTATTTACTCGCATAGACATGCATATACATAACATAAAGTGTTTATCAGAGAGACATAGTTCTCGTGTTACTTATCAACATTTTAAATTGTATATTTTATCTTTAAATATTTTTTTTTTTTTTTTCAAATTTCAACGAGTCCATTAATTCTAATTTAATTCACCAACTTTAGTGTTATTAATCAATAATGGTAAACACTGCATCAATAGATTCATCTACTAGTATCTAATAATAATAATAGTAATAATAATCATGTTATTTTTTCAGGTGATTATAAGGCCAAACAAATTAAATGTTTTGTTTCTGGTCAGCGTGTGTTTTAGTTTGAAACAGGGCCAATCACACCCAATTTTTTCTGGTTTCAGCAAAAATAGCATAAAAATAGAGGGGAAAAAAAGGCAACAAAAACAATTTTAAAAGGATCCTCATCACCTTGTTTTTTGAACATCTCTAATTCTAATTCCAAGTTGTCATTTAATACCTTATTCAAAATTATTATAAATAAATGCCATTTTGTTCAGTTGCGCATTATCAAAGCCCGCTTACTGTGCTTGTTTACTTTGAATAAATTATGCTTAAATTAAACATAATGCTACTACGTAGTTTTTGCAATTGTTTTGTTTTTAATTCAACGCATATGTCACTCAGCTTATTTCCGTCAACAAGATGTTTGTTGTTTCCATGTCAACAAGATGTTTGTTGTTTCCATGTTAATGATGGTATACAATATGCGCAGTTGTTGATTCGGAGATTTGAGAGAGATCGGTATCAGTGATTTATTAATGAGTTAAATATTAGTACCCACCAGTTCACAATGTCATATTTAATGTTTTGTTCCGGAAAATTTTTTTTCTTCTCCATGTGCTCATTATTATTTTATTCTGTGGATGGGTTTATTTTGTTGTAACAATACCATTTTTTGATTTTTTCAATTTTTTAATGTTTGTAGTGTATCTATGCATTTCATGTACTGTGGAATACTTTATTTTCGCTGGAATTAATTTTCGCTGAAAAGGCTTTTTGAGCATTTTGTATGGAATTTATTTTCACTGATTTTTGATGAGTTTAATGTGAAATATAGGAAAAAAAGTATATTCGCTGGATTTTATTTTCACGGAATCATCACTTCAGCGAAAATAGCGAAAATAAATTCCAAGCGAAAATAAAGTATTCTACAGTAATGTATATTTCAGTGGGAATGCTTGGGAATAAAAAAAAAAGTTATGTGTATTTTAAAACTAGATGATGTCACTTGTTTGGCAGATTTATCGAATGAGGAATTGTTTTCATTGAATTAACATTACAACTGATGAAAGCCTTCATGATCTGTTGATGTCTATTCTAAGTGATTATAGGGAATGGGGAATGAAAATATAAAGCTAATATACAATTCTTAATTTATTATTTTTTTTTTTTTTTTAATAGTTAACACCAGAAGAAATTGAGCGCATCATGAGTGGAGAGGAGTTTGAACAAGATGGATGGAATTATCAAGGAATCAACGGGAACATCAGCCCCACACGAAGTGACGGATTGTCTGAACAACCATCTCCAACACTTAGCAACCCCATGTCCGATACCATAGAGAACATTTCCTCTGACTCTGATATGGCCAACCGCTATGATGGCGAGACGTACGTCCAACACATTGAGCAGTTGATGTATGCCGAGCAGCAGGAACCGTTAAAACTCCCGTTTACTTTCCCGGACGGGCATATAATCACGCATACTGAACTCTTTGAACTTCTCTGCAAGTTTGCTGACCAGATCCTCTTCTATCAGACGGCATGGGTGAAGCGGCTGCCATTCTTTCGTGAAGTGCCCATTAAAGACTTCACACTCTTGCTGAGCAAAACCTGGCACGAGAATCTGATCCTGACGGCCGCCTGTAACCACCGCCGGAAGATCTTTAACGAATTGTCCCGGGTGACTCGACGATACCAACCCAGTGAGGAAGAGCTGAAACACTTCCCTCAAGAAGGTATGGAGATAATGGAGCGAATGGTTGTATTGGCATCTAAGTTTCAACAACTCAATATCACCCCAGAAGAGTATGTCTGCATGAAAATTGTAAATTTTCTCAATCCAGGTATGTTAATTGTTATGATTTTTACTTTCACTGTATCATAGATCAAATCAATTGAGCTCTTGAACCAGATTTCCTAATCCTATGGTGTAGGTTGAGGATCAATGTTGTATATGTATGAATATAATGTATTGCAGTTGTAAAAGGAACCACATTAACAAAGATTGAGATTAAAGAGAGTGACTTACCAAACCTGTTTTTAGCTCCACTGTCGACTTTGTCGAGCGGAGCTTATCATATGAGTGATTGTCTGTCGGAGTCCGTCGGCGTCCGTGTCAATGTTTTACATTTTCGACTTCTTCTTGAAAACTACAAGTCTGAATGCTTTGATACTTGGTGTATATGTACCTTGGGTAGACCTCTCTCAGATTTGTTCATTTCATGATGATATCTTCAATTCTCTAATTTTGGTGAATATTTTTGTAATTTTTGGTAAAAAGTGATATTTTTGACTTCTTGTTAAAAACCGCAAGTCCGATTGCTTTGATATTACATATATAGGTACTACATGTGGACCTCTCTTAGATTTGTTCATTTCATGATGATATCTTCAATTCTCTAATTTTGGTGAATATTTTTGTAATTTTTGATAAAAAGTGATATTTTTGACTTCTTGTTAAAAACCGCAAGTCCGATTGCTTTGATATTACATATATAGGTACTACATGTGGACCTCTCAGATTTGTTCATTTCGTGATGATATCTTCAATTATCTAATTTTGATGAATATTTATGTCATTTTTGGTCCGATTGCTATACATACTATACATATTGTTCATTTTCTAATGATATCTTCAGTTCTTTAATTGAAATGTGCATTGCTAACAGCGGAGCTATCTCAGCCGAGAGGCTGCTTGTCTATTGTAGTCTTTTACCATTTCACCACCAGTTCCCTCTTTTCATTACAAACTCCTTCAGAGGATTGGAAAAAAAATAGCCAAATTTTTGGAGTAAAAACTTGAAATTGACTCACATTTTGTCTGTTGGCTCCAAAATTAGGGTTCATTTCAAGAAATATTGAAGAAAAAAAGTGCAGAAAAATTTGGGCAAGAAAGGTGGTGGTGAACAGGTTGAGGCGCAAGTCTACTAATTCGTTGATTTCTCATGGACAACAGTTTTAACATTTGATTCAATGTCCCAACTTCAAAACTTTTGTTAACAAGTAATTTGTGAAATCCGGACAAAAATATATCGGTCAAACCACAGCCAGATCACATGCATATCCGATCACAGTCAAGTCAGTGTGACTCAAAACTCACAGCCTGATGACGTGCATGTCAGATCACGAAGACCAATGATTGTCAACATTTTTATTGGTCCAAACAAATCTGAACACCTCAAAATAGCTTGTCAAATTTGCTAAATCTTTTTTTGAGGTAGCGAGAAACGTGATGTTAACACATTGCCTGTGGAAAGCCTCTATGAAGTGCCGAAATAAGTCGGTAACAAACTGCATCAGCAGGCAATGTGTTGATCATGCCTCATCTCTATAACTCTGTCAAGTTATACTTATGTGTACTCTTTCGCTCCTTTCGTTCACAGATGTTGAAGGTATAACAAGCCCTGAAATTATTGAGCAGATCAACAAGCAGTACTGGTACGCATTCCAAGACTACACCGAATCACGCAGCAGACACCATCCCGGACGATTCCGTGAGCTGATGATGTGTCTTCCTGAGATACGCTATACAGCCAGCAAGATGCTAGATATCCCCGTGGAGCAGATGCCGCTCCTTTTCAAAGCCATTATGCATGCCTGTAACATCCAAGTCCCTGAGAATCCGTATCCCCCGCCGGTCTAAAACCAGTGGTGGATGAGGACCATTGTTGCCGAGGGTAACAACTAGACATGGATGTAGGGATTAGTTAGAATGATTCAAAGCATGGATGCTGGGAAGAGAATCTATTGGTCAGCTGATCTTTTTGGGTGCTTGCTCTTATTTTGTATTGATATAAAATATCGCAAATTTATCATTGATTTTATTGAGATTTATAGATATTTAGTGCTTTTCTTTTTACAATGCAGAAATCTCTAAACAAAAGGGAAACCCTTTTAAAAAAATTTATTTTTAGTAAAAAAGCTTTAGTTTTTTTATTATATATAATAGTGAAAAAAAGCTAATTTTTTGGAAAAGGGGAATACCGGGGCAGTTTAGCGCCCTTTTTCATTCCTGCATGGCATTGATGAAGTACATTGTTGGCTTGACAACCAGCATTTTGGAGAAACAAAAAAAACAAAGAGCACAGAATTTTTTGCAACAACGTCTATAAAATTAGATAGTATTAATAGCAAAGTTAGTAGCTGGACGGGACAAGGCATTTTTCTCTTTATTTCTAAAAAATGTAATGAGTACATACCGTTTTATTCTATAAAATTGAACAAATGTGTAAACTGGTTTACGCAGTTTCTGATCAGTTGGATGATGTCGCAAAGAGTTTTTTTGTTTTGTTTTTTAACACAAACTCTAACAATTTGTTTTTGTTACAGATGGCATTTTTTCTTGGAGCAAAAAAGTGAAACTAATTTAAAAAAAAAAAAAAAAAAAAATTAAGATTAAACGCTGTTGTAAATAATCTGGATATTTATTTAACATTCTCACTGTGGTAAGACTGTATGTTTAACAATCAATATTGTGGTTCCAAGATTTCCACCATTTCCCAATCAATTTTATCCATTCTATACCAATATCTGTATTTTAAAACTTTACTAATGTGGAAATCAGATTATTGGCATACTTTTTTTTTTTAAAAGTTCATGTTGGAAAATGAAATGTTATGGCATATTTGATACGTTATCCGCTATGTGGTTGCCATGCCATCTGTCGTCTGTTACAATCTGACTTATCATTATTCCTTAAAATCGTCTGCCATGCCATTTTATTCAGGACAACAACAAAGTAAACCATAAAATCATCCTTGTTCACCGAAATTGGATAGTTGGGATATCAGTGGTCATCTTGGAAAAGTCGTTAACCCTTTAAACACCGAAGTGAACCCTTGTCACAGTTTACAAATTAAACTTGCATAATTTTTCTATATTTTTTCAAAATTTATGATTAAAGTTCAAGTAAAAGGAGGTTAATCGGTCCAAAATTAAATTTGCCAGCGGTAGCGTTAAAATTTGCTGGAGGGGGGATAGGACTTGTGGAGTTCAGAGGGTTAAAGACAAAACTGTAAAAGTAAGAATGGGGTGAGTCAAGCTTGTCATGTTGTTTTATTAGTTAAGGGAAGAAGGCAATTTTTCTGCCTATTATTCAAGATGAATAATCTGTTGTAATTTCATCTACCAAAGAGCACATTCTACTTTCTAATAATTATATATTGGGGGTGTTTTTTTTTTGCCAACTGTACAAGTACCATTATCGCTTCAGTTGAACGGTTGAAAGTGCATTGTCTCGAAAATTGACTGTAAGTCTTTAATTCCAAAATATTACCCTTGTTTATCCGAGTAATAACCATGAATTTCACATTTTGTTGGTACTTTTACTATTTTTTCCAATAGTAAAATGCATAACGCAAGGTTAAATTTCAGTCGGTGGAAAACTTGTCATTACTTGTCTATGTTAAAATACTGTACCATATTTGCTCTATTAGAAGCGCATCTCCAATAGAGTGGATATAAACCCAAAATTGAATTTGTATTGGTTGAACGCTGTAACTTGAGTAAGCGTATGCGCTACTAATAGAGCGAAAACATTATCTGGGATATCCATTGCCGCTAATTAATCTGCCATACTATTGCAACTAAATTTACACATACACGATATATATGGATCTTTTAGCATCATGTTATTAAACCTAATTTGGTTTTTTTAGCAGATTTGTCGTCACTGTTTGACAGTTCAAATTTTGGAAATCAAATTTTCCAGACATTCCCTTCAATGCGTATATGGTTCTTCAGAAGAACAAAATATTACAATAATGCGATAATATTGTTGTGCAGTGTGGTGTATTTGTTTGCGATTTCTTTTTCACAATAAGAGTACATGTGGGGAGTGGAGTGGCATCTTTAAGTATATCGCCACACAATAAGCAAATTATAGAAGTAGTTGGCGCTAATTCATATTTTTTTCTCTAAGAAATACACTAGAAATAAGTATTACCATCTTTTATAAATGAATATAACTAAACTGCAAAAAACTGTTGCCAAATAACACCACTTTACCCTTCTCCATTTACTCAGAAACAAAAACAGTGCCTCATTTGACCCTTGACCCTTGAACTGTGATCAAGAAAGCTAGACTCTTGTCAGTTCTTTTCTCTTGAATTTGTAATAAAAGTATATAAAAAAAAATACATCTCATAAATTGGATTTACATTAAAACATTAAACAACATTTTAATGAAATCATGAGCAAAAAGCAAAACTTTGGTACTATTAAATTGTTCCTCCGTGGATATGTTCAGATGCTGTTCATTTCACGTTAAAGTAAATTATTAACAAAAGTCTGGGTTGAAAGAGCTTTATTAACTGGATTAACTTCGCTGCCATACAAAATGCTGCTTTATTTTAGTTTTGTAAATTTTTTTTTTTTTAAATATTGTTTCAGTTACTGTAGGTGATTTATTGAAGTTTACCAGGCAAGCTTTTGTAGACATTACCTGGTTTCAGGAGACTAGAGCCAATCTTTGTTCATATCACCCACTAAAGTATAAAAAAAAAAAAAATTGTTTTTTACTTTATATTGTACCGCTGAAAATTGGCTCAGTTATTCACCCTGTTATTCTATCCACCTCCCCCCAGAAATGAATGGTTGATGCTATACACAACTTGAATATGGAGTCCTTGTTCTTCATTTACTGGTACTATCTTCACTCCCCTGCAGACAGTGGATTTTTCGTTATGCTCATTTGCATTAATTTGAAGTCAAATTATTTCTTTTTTTTTGAACACCAAATCAAGTTTTGTCATTTTTTCACTAAAATGAACCAGCATCATTTTTTTTTTGATATATTTTTTTAATATTTTGATAAAAATGCATAGCCTTTGGAAATTTGGTCAAAATTGTTTTAAAATGAAACAAAAATACATAAAAATGCACAAAAAGTTGATGGTGTTCAAAGCATTAAGATGAATTTTCGCAAATTGAATAATTTTGTCTTTAATATTGACATTTATTTGGAGTTGCCGAAAAAAAAAAATCACTTTATTGTTGAGATTTGTATTTTAGAGCATAATTAGCGTAATGAACCATTGCTGGATAAAGTGCTCTCACTAATGGGGAAAGGGTGCTCTCTTGTGCTTGTGATAGTGACAGTTTTTCTCTGAAATAGTGAATACCCTGAAATACTAACGAAGTCTATGTTTACAGGTAACTGCGTATATAATACGTTTTGTATAGAATACCCAACTATTCAGTGTACTTCCTGTGGCTTTAATATTGAATCACAAATATATAGGCGTAGCATGGAAATAGTTGTAACAAACACGCGATAATTGCAGACTTTGTCGATAAAAGTTTGTTTGTAACATAGATGAATCCAATCTTATGGGAGTAGGTGTGTTGAAATGTTGTGAAAATACATCTTTCTGTAAGAATGTCAAAATTTCTGTTTTAAGATCAGTTTCAGTTGACCTGGTGTAGCATTCCAGGAATCTGGTACAATTTGTTTGTTTTTCTGATCCCAAAAATCAACCAGGATTTTGGTCAACAACTTATAAGCAAGCTTAATTTTCGTCGCTTTTTTTTTCTTTCTCCCAAGATAATTTTTCTCACAAATACCCATTCTAAGTGAATTAATTGTGTCAAAAACGAACCAGAATTGTTAAGGAATGAAAAATTCAGTTTGTGTAGATTTGATGAAAACAAAAAATCGAAAACAGATTTTGTTACTATAACTGGTGACTGTGTACATTTCTTGCTGTATAATCGATAGCTACGCTGCATCTGATCATTAATATTATAAAAAAAAAAAGTATTTTCTGAAATGTAACAGCAAATATTGGCATAATATATATATAACATTATCCTACTACATTATCTCTCTCAATGAAGACTGTGAGGCAGTTTTTGTAAATACTTTTTTTGTGTAGTTGGTTATTCACATTTTTAGAAAATTTGAATTGTAGTTGTCTATAAAAGGTCGCAACAAAAATATGGTATCAAATACCATACAAATATTTCAGTATAGCTTTGTTTCAAATGGTAATGTTTTGATTGTAGTCATAGTAACCAACCTTAGATGGTTGTAAAACATGTGAGGGACTTTACGGAACTTAGTTCTGGGAGAGACCAAATAAATTCAAGTAATTTTTTTTTTTCCTGTTATATTGCCTCAGTGATTCGATAATAGAACTTGTTCTTTAAATAATGTACAAAAACACTAGCAATACTATACACTGTATCCAGATGTTTGTTTTCACGTTATAGAAATTTAAAAAATACAAAGCAAAAAAAAAACAAAAAAAACATACAGAGTACCTAAATATGCTTGATTACAGACTGATATGGTAACTACGGTAACAAAATGGAACAGGAAAACAAAATCAAAGTAACATTTTCATAGGATGAGTGATGGGTAATGTTATGTAAATTCTGAATTGGTTGTCATGGTTTTATGGGGTTTATTAATTAAGCGCAGAACTTGCAACATATCATTTTGTTATGACTCGAAGATCGGTACACAGTTTTGTTTCAGCTTTTTTTTCCCTACTTTCCATTCAAAATTTCTCACACAAAGAAACAGGCATACCTTTTTGAACTACGAAACCCAGATTTTCATAATTAAGCATTAGTTTATAGTTGATAGCAGTTAATTCATTTGACAACAATTTCATAACTTTTAAAGCTTGCAACTGGTGC